AGCCAAAAGGATGGGAAGCAGGAACTGAAAGCTATTTGGACACCAGTGTTCACAGCAGCTTTACTCAAAACAGCCAAAGATGTAAACAACCCAAACGTCCCTCAACACACGAAGGGGTAAACAAAATGGATATACAATAAATCCAACTCAGCCTTCGAAGGAATGAAATTTTGATATACGCTACCAACACGGATAAACCTTGGAAACGTCATGCCTCATGAAATAAATCCAGTCACAGAAGGACAGATACTGTGATTCCACACATACGAAGTACCTAGAATAGGCACATTTAGAGACAGAAAAGAGAAGACAGGTTGGCTGGGGGCAGGGAGGAAAGAGCAGTTGTCTAATGACTACAGACTTCCTGTTGGGGATGATGAGAAAGTTTTGGGTAAAGATGGTGGGGGTGATTCCGCACAATGGGAAAGTGACTAATGCCACCAAATGGTCCACTTACAAACGGTTAAAGGTAAAAAGTAGTGTGTTATGTGTATTTTATCACAGTTTTTTTTTTCCCCGAAAAGTTCTAAGTGGCTTTGCACAGCTGTTAATTTCATCACCTGGTTTGTCTGGAACAGGAGATAGAGTGGGGAGATGGTATGGGGCAATACTTGGGTTGGTGACCAGAACCCTGACAACCTCTGTCCTCTGTCACTGCCACCTCTCACCCTGACCTCGAGCTCTTTGTCCAATAGCGAGGACTGGCCTGCTGAACTGTGCACTCCGGTGTTTGGCCCGCCTTCCAGCTCCATGGCTGCATCCTCACCTGGCCCCGGGGCAGACTTCCCTCCCACCCAGCTGCCCTCGGGAGGAATGCAATTCTTCCACGTGGATCTACCACCAGGTCATGGTAGAACATCCAAGGAGGACAGGATGGTGGGGTTAGAGTCCTCGGTTTTTACCCACCAGGGGAAAGGTTTTTCTGTTGTTGGTTCATGCTAAGCCAAACTTCAGGCCCCAAGGGACAGGTCTAGCTCCCCATCGCCCCTCTTCTGCTTCCCAAGCCTGGGATTCATCGACTCAGAGTTTTAGCCTCTGCCTTTTTGTTTGTTTTCCAGAAGATTTAAAATTCTGAAAGGTTAGAGGAAGAACCAGAATTGAAATAATCTAGGAAAAGATTAAACTAGATTAAAGAGAGGCCAAAACAGATTAGACTTCAATGCTCTTCACCCCCAAGGAGATTACACTGTAAATCAGTAAGACTCAGAGACATTATCTTTCTCTCTGGCCTCTGTCTTTCCCACTAACCAACCTTAGCCTAGAAAGACACTAGAAGATACTAGAAGTTGCTATTTTAGCCCATGTTGAGATGAGGAATACAAGTGGTGGAAGAAGCAGGCAGTGACTGGTGTGCCCCTTGATCTGGGTGGAGATGTGTGTTGAGATGCGTTAGCCACAGTGGACCAGCTGAGGCTGGAGCTGACTTTTGTACCTTCTGCAGCTGTCACTGGTGCCCAGTGGCTCTCTCTGTGTCCTGCCAGGCCTGGGCTAGTCTGGACAGGCCTTTCATAAAGCTTTCTAAGGACAGGGGTCTGATCTCATCACCCAGTTCCATGCCCTGCCTCTCTTAGAATTAGGTAGCTCTTCTGTTTCCTTCTTCATTCTTCCATTCCAGTGAATGCCTGCCATGGCTCCCTTATCCCTCATCGTAATGGAGATTAAGACCAAGGACTCTGACGGAAGGCTGGCTCCATTCCATCCTGGCTCCAGCAGTTGACCAGCTGAGTTACTTTGGGCAACTTCATCTCTGTACATCTGTTTGCTCACCTCTAAAATGGACCTAATTGTAGAACCTCAGTGATCAAGTATTATGTACTTCATTTAGCACACTGTCAGCTCTTGATACATGTCAACGGAGACCACAGTTGTCTCCTCCTTCTTCTTATTCTTTTGCTTTAGGGGTCTTCCTCCTTGGATTTGCAAGTCCCAGGAGTAGGAGTTATATCATTTCCCTGTCATCGTGTAAAAAGAGAATGCCATAATGGGATGAAAGGAGGCAAATATTGGCCTACCCATTCCCCCGGACCCATCACCCAGGTTAGTTTCAGGATCCAGACGGAGGGCATAAATAACCGGCTACTGGCCTGACCTTTCCCACAAGGTCCCCCGGATATCCAGCCTGTGTTTGGGCGGCCCCTTTCCACATTTCACTGCAGTCTCTGCCGGGGGACCTGCTGATTCACAAAACGAGTGGGCCGGCTTCAGGTCCCTGGTACCCCCAGACACGCAGCCCAGGCTGCACAGCTGGGCGGCAGCTGCTTCCGACTCCCCGAGAGCCAGTGGGATCAGCAGGGCCCCCAGCCCCAAGAGGTCCAGCGTTCTTTTTGTTGGTTTCCCTCTGAGCTCCAGCTCCAGCTCCTGGGAAGGGCACGTCTGCCACCTGCTGGCTGTGGGTGGCACAGCACCTGGCTGGCCCTCCTGGTCCCCGTCAGAGCTACAATTTGGGGCTCTGGCCCCAGGCACAGGTGTCAGAGGCCTTTCCCGCACTGGGCACCAAGGAAGTCTGTTCCTCAAAGTCCTCCCTCCTGTCCTGAGCACTTCTTGGGGCCGACAGTGGACAGGCACGGCCCACACAATTCAGTTCAAATGGGAGAATTCAGTGGGTACCTCCTCTGGGCTGCGCGAATAGGGGTAGAGAGGGACAGGCCCCGCCCTCCAGACGAGCTCCATGGAGGGAAGTGGAGGCGGGGCAAAGGACAGGACCAAGGCAGAGTTGCCAGGAGGGGTAACGTTGGCACCTGGGGCTGTCTCATGCCCTTCCTCTGGCACTGCCCTAGCCCTCAAGCCTGGAGGGGTCAACTTCAGATGCTCCCCATTTGATCCCCCAGGCCCAGGAATACCCCTGAGACCTGAACTTACCCTCCCTCTGTCAGGTTCCCCACTATCAACCCCCTTCCTAAGAGAAATGCCCAGCCCAGGTGCGGGGTCGGGGAAGGTGAGGCGATGAGACCGGGACAGACGCAGTCCCGGCAGTTGAGGGCCTCTCAACTCTCTGCATCCCGCTCCCTCCCCAACCGTTTGCGGTAGAGTTTGCCAAATCTACAGAAAGTGGAAAGAATAACACACTGAATATACATACAGATATATTCACAATACCATCATCATTCTCAAGAAATTCCACATTGATACGCTAATATTCTCTCATATAAGTCTATGTTCAGGTTTCTCAATTGCCCCAGTAATGTCCTTTATAGCTTCTTCCTTTTTAAAAACAAGGATCACTCACTGCATTCGCTTGTCCTGTCTCTTCAGTCTCATTTCATGAAAAACAGCCTTCCCATCTTCTTTGTCTTTCGTGACACTGACATTTTTGTAGGGTCGAGGCTGGTTGTTTTGTCGAATGGCCGCCATCTGCACCTGTCCTGTTCCTCATGGGTAGACACAGGGTAAGCATTTTTGTCAAGAATCCCACTCGTTGATGTTGTGTGCTCGGTACATCCTGTCAGGATGCATTCTTTCTTTTTACCTGTCTTTTCTAATTTATTGTCCATCTGCCTAATTCCCAAAATGGTTAAAGTGGCCGACAGTAAAACAGAAAATCAAAACTTCCGCTGGGGGGAGAGGAGGATTGATGTGGGTACTGGGAAGATGACCACATTGGCCACAGCTTTTTAGTGGCTAAGACCCAAAGGGAGACCCGTCAGGGCTACAACCCTCTTTTTCTAAATCGGATGTCAGCAAACTTTGTCAAGTGCCAAGAAGGAAATATTTGGGGCTGTCTGGTCTCTGTCACAATGACTTTGGTGGAGTAGTACAAAAGAGGTCTCAGACAATACTTAAAAACAGGCATGGCTGTGTCCCAATCAAATTTGATTTGTAAAACCACACTTCTGGGTTTGGCCCCAAGGGCCTGAGTTTGCTGACCCTTGAATTAGGTAAAAGCAAATATTCCAGCTATTAAATGACTAAAGCTTTCTTTTTCCGGTAAGTACTGCATTCTAAAAGGAACTGTTCATAACACTATTTATTTATTCAGCAAAAACTCTTTGAGGATTGTCATGTGCCAAGCACTATGCTCAGTATGGGGTAATACATCAGTGATGAAACAGACAAGATCTTTGCCTTTCTGGAGGACAGAGTCAATGTGAGAAACAGATAACGTGCAGATAAACAAATGTAAACTACATGTCGCAATAAGAACTATGGAGGAAATGAACGGATAGAGTGATGAAACAATGGGGGAGGGGGTCATACCCATAGGGGAGTTGGGGAAGGCCTCCTTATGACATTTAAGCTGGCAGCTGGCACCTAGTGATGGTCATGGGAGACAGCTTTTCAGGCAGAAGGAAGAGCAAGTGCAAAGGCCCTGAGGTGAGGGGAGCTTGGCTCATGCCATTGGAACCCAGGTGTGGCTGGAGATTAGTAAGGGGCAGTGGAAGGGAGGGATATGGGGGGAGGTTCATAGGTTGTGGCAGGTGTTTGTATTTTATTCCAAGAACAATGGGAAGCCACTGGAGAGTTTTAAGCATCTGTCCATCCCCAGCCCAAGGAGTTGTCACCCAAAGCAATCACCTAGACTTGAGTGTGAATCCAAATCCTATCACAAATGTGTGACCTCTGAGCCTCAATTTTCTCATCTGTCAATGGGCCAATAAAAGCCTCCTTATAGGGCTCTTCTAAGAATGAAATGCAGCAACGCACATCAGGCAGACAGGAGATGCTCAATCCATGCTAATCACTACCACTGACGAGATTGTCTGTACCGGGGCACCCACGCCCCAGCATGAGAACAGATACGCACAAGCACCACAAGTCCCTACCAAGGAGGATGCTCAACTGGCACAGGAAGAAGGAGGCATCTTCAAAATAGGCCCCACCCTCTCCCTCCCACCCATCCCAGCTACAGCCATCCCAGAGCACCCAGCGCTCTTGATCCTCCTATGTGACCCTGGGAGACGTTCCTCTTGCCTTGCAGGAGCTTAGGGAGGCACCCAGCCAGTCAGCTGACTCAACCTTGCTCAGCCCTGTGTTGGTTTGTGTTTGTTTCTGTTTTTTTTCAGTTCTCCCTGATGTCTTTACTCATAGACCCGGACCCAGGTGAGTGTGTGGATCACCCTGGGGCTCCTCACAAACTACAGGCTGGTTCTGGGATGGAAGAAAGGGGACCCATGCATGTGAGTGTGGGCACAAGCTCAGGATTCAAACAATTCAGAAATGTTGTTGACCCCTTCCAAGAATTTTCCCAGAAAAATGTACTCCTGGTGTTTGTCCCTCCGTGCACGTACACTATGCTTTACTCGATTTTGAGTTGCCCATGGGTACCCCTGATCCCCTGTCTCAGGACCCCAGGGCAAAAACTGCTGATACAGTTAAATCCCTTCATTTTACAGAGAAGGGAACTGAGGCCCTGGGAGGGGAGGCTACAGGTCACACAGCCCATTAGTGATGAGATGAGCTGAAAAGGCCGACACAAAGCGAGGGTGGCATTGGTCACTTACTGGCTCCAGGCAGGCTGGCCCTGGGCCCCCACTCGCTCCGGGAGCTAGGTCCTCCGTGCTGTGCCACGCAGGCAGTCCTCAGGCTGACCCGCCCCTGTGACGGCCTCCCACCTGCACCCCCACCACTGCCGTCCTGCCCGGGGCCCTCCACTGTGCCCGAGCCGAGCAGGGCTATTGCTCTTGCGGTCACCCAATCTCTGACTCGGGGCCCATGTCTCCCTTCACTGCTCCGAGCCCCAAGGGGGAGAAAACTCCACACCCAAGTCCACCAGGGTGGAGGCTGGTATCCCCCACGGGCAGTGACCTGTGCTGGTCCCCCACAGAGGACCAGAGCCAGGGAGCCAGCACATGGAGATGGCGGTCATGTCTAAACTTTGGGTCAAGGGCTTATTTGGAGCAAATGTGGGGACCCCTGGGTCAAAATCCACGTGACGGTCAATATCCTCTGGCAGCAAAGCCGTGGATGGGCAGACAGACTTGTGCTGGTTCAAGGCAGGCAATGTCTGAGCTTTGTCTACCCCTTATGCTCAGGGAATGTTTGTGGAATTGAGCATGGCATGTGCGTTTCCAGAGGGTCTATGTCTTTCCCCAAAGCAAAGGATTCTGTTCTATTCGACAACATATAATTTAATTCCTTGGAGGAATCGTGTTTCAGGGGGCTCCCCCCAGCTGCCTGCACCAGCATCCACATGTGGAGTCCAGGGGGAGGGGGCGGTCCAAAGCCAAGAGGTGGGAAGAGCTGCCCCCTCCCCGGCCTTCAGCACACACCACTCAGGCACCAGGGGTCAGAGAGATGGAGCTCCAGAACTGTGGGGTCACACAGCAGACAAGGAGCATAGAAGAGTCCAGAGACCTCGCTCTCTTCAAGGATTTGAAAAGCAGATCCACTCCTAGTCCATGATGTCAACTTTGTGAGAATTAAGAGGTGTCTTTACCTCAAGACACTGTACGGCCATCTTCCAGAAAATTGCAGAAGACATCTATAGTGACCACGAGTTTCTGACCACTGCACTGACACTGTGCAGTGAACAACTTGCGCAACTGGATGCAGTGGCCCCACTGAACACACATCACAGAAAAGGGAGGATTCATTCTCTGTGTTCATAAGGCTTTTAGCTTTAATGAAAAAGATTAGAAGCGATAGGATCAGATTTGGTCTGCAAACAGGAGAACTTCCTCCCCATCAGAGTCGTCCAAAAATCTGAATGGGCTGTTGGGCTCTTGGGAGGTAGTAAGTTCTCCATCACTGGTGGTCTTCAAACACAGGCTGAAAAACCACTTAGTAGGGAGTGGAGAGTATTGGATTTACCATTCTGAAAGTCTAGGCTCTAGAAGAACTCTGTCAATAGTTTCTGCCAGTTTGGTGAGTGGATGAAGGGACCCTGGAGCCCGCCATCCCTGGGCTCCCAAGTCCGGCTCGAGGTGTTCGGTCAACCTCTGGCTGTGGAGCGGGGCGAGATGTAGTATGCCTGGCCTTTCTGCAAAGAGCAGGTTAGGTTTTTAAAATGCCCCTGTTGGTATCTGCTCTAATTGCACATGGGGGTGGTTCTTCGATGGAATTTGTCAGATCCCAGCCGGCTTTAGAAAGCAGTGTGGCCAAGGAAACACCATGCCCATGTCCATAGGCAAGCGGCTTCTGTAGCTGGTCTTGCTGGACACAGTGCATGGCGGGGGTTTTGCGGGAGCAGAAGGCGCCTGGGCCGCAGTCCCCAATGGGTGGCCGAGGAGGTGGCCATCAAACAGCACAGACTCTGCTCATCTCCCCAAAGCAGGTGCCGTGACAGCCAACGGGCCTGCGGAAATGCCTCTTCAAAGCTGGCTTGGCTCTGCCCAGCAACACAAGCTGAGCCCATCCATCAGCTGTCCTGCCACCTGCCAGTGAGGGTCTCCGCTGAGCTTGCCCTGTCAGCTGGATTGGAAGCGTCAGATACAGACCAACAGGGCTGGGGTTTGGGGGAGGCCCTCGGAGGAACCGTCTGTGCTACGGTGATGGATGACGCCAACAGGGACAGCATTCCAGAGATTTTTATTCCGTTCCGCACATCTGGCGAGCTCCTTAACCAGAGCAGCTGAGGAGCCCCCATCACACAAACTTTGAGCTTTTTCCGAGAGACCCTGGGTCTAGACCACGGTAATCCCGCTTGAGGGACTTGGAGCATGTGCTAAAAAAGATTTCTTGACGTGTGTTACTTCCTGGAAGCTGAAACCCATGGAATTTCACGAAACACAAACCCACAAGAGACTCCTGGGCCGGTAGAAAAGCAAACCAGACTTGGAGTTAGGTAGACCTGGGTTTGGATACCACCTCCTCCTGCTCTCGTTTTCGTCAAATCGGAATAATAATACCTATGCCATGGGGTGTCTCTATGGTTAAATAAGATCATGTGCCACCACATTTATTTAGTATAGTGTCCAGTACATAGAAAGTACTCAATAGATAATAACCAGTTATTGGGACGATTTGAGTTAGCTCAGGATACCCTCACCATCCTTCCTGATAAGTTCTAGAAACAGACTCTGATAAATAGACAAATCCACAAGGATTTGTTTTTATACCTAACATAAAATGCTCCTGAGAGCAACTCCCATTCTTCACCCAAAGCATTCTCCTTTTCGACAGCCTAGAGAAAGTCTCCAATACTCTATATTTGGACCTGTGGTGTTTTCCTCCAACCCAGCAATGGAAGCAAATTCTAGGTCAGGCTCTAACCCCTCTTGATGCAGGAAAGCACTTGGACAAATTTCTAGACTCTACGGAGCTCAACAGGCATCTTCTTCACCAAATACTTATGACCCAGATCTCAAATAGTCTCTCTCCTAAGTTCCCCGTTTCCTCTGCTCCAAGCAAATACCAACTTTGCTGGCCAAGCTCCATGCTGGCCAATCAGAAAGAAGGGAGGCCCCATCACAGAGGGAAAAACTCACTTGTCAAACGCATCCATTTACTGCATCTAGGGATCTGTGCTGGGTCCGAGGGCTACAAAGAGGAATAGACGTGGCCCTCGATCTTAAGACACCAACTATCTAGTTGGAGGGAACAATTAGATAGACCAAGTTGAATAATAAACCACAAGAAAGAGGTACCATCTGAGCTCCAGCCATGAAACCTAACACTCTACAGCCTTCTGGGCCACTGAGGAAATACCTAAAATTCTTATCCCACTGGCAACCCAATACCAGTCAAGCCCTGTGTGCTCATTCATTATTACTGCGGAGTATGCTACCCTAAACTTAGTGGCTTCAACCATGAATATTCTTAATAGAATAAGAATCAGGTCTCAATTCTTTGGATTGGCGATTTAGATCAGGTTCAGCTGGGCACTTCCTCCGGTCTGGACCAGGCTCAGCAGATGTTGGCCAGGCCTCCTCTCAAGTCTGCAGTCAGCTGATAGATCGCTGGGCTCTCATATGTCTGAGGCCTTGACTGGAAGTGCTAGGCCTTCTGCTGCCCCACACATTCTCTTAACCTCCAGAGAATCGGCCAGACCTGTACACATGGCAGTCGCAGGGGTGGGAGAGAAAGAGAGAGAGAGAGGGAGAGGACATGTGTAAGACTTCTTGAGACCCAGACTTGGTGCTGGCACGCTGTCCTTCTAGCACATGCTATTACTGGTCAAAGCAAGTCCCAAGGCCAGTTTAGACCCAAGGGGTGGGGAAATCAACTCCATCTCTTGGTAGGAGGAGCTGCAAAGTCTCACTGCTAAAGATGAGACGACAGGGAGAGGTGGCGAGTCGGGGCCATCTTCCCCCATGGGATTGGCTCATACTGTATTAACGTGCCAATGTGGAACGTGGAGCCACCTAACCTAGACTTGGCCACATCTAGCCCCGCTGCCTCTCCACTCCCCGTTCATCTCCTTTCTTGGCTGGTTTTCCTCCCCGACTCACCCTGGCCCGGAAGCTCCTGTGTTGGAGGCCACATCCCACTCTTTTTTGCACATCTCTCCATTACTCCCAGTGCTTTCCTGAGCCTGGCGTCATACTTGGCCCATCGTAGGTGCACAACACACTTTTCTTATGTAGACAATGGGGTTAAGTGCCAATAGCGTAGAAAAGACAAAATAAGCTAAGTTTGGAGGTGGAGAAGCCCTGCCAGGGGGTGCTTCTATAAAGCGCTCTGAAAACACGGGACAGGCGCCCTGAAGGTAAAGGATCTTGGTGCCTTTTTGCATAGAACTCCAATTGGCTGACTTCTGGTGACCTGGGGCCACTGAGCCTCTGTTGCTTCTCTCCACCTTAACCAAGGGCCCTGGGCCACCCGGAGAAGAGCAGGGATTTTTTGCCTTGTTTAGCAGACATATGACTCAAAGCTTACATGTCTTATTCCCTCTTTAGCTTCGCTGAGAGCTGAGCAGACCCTGTTAACAAGGCTGGATTCCAGTTAAAATCCTCCAGCAGACATTTCAGCCATCCCCCACCACCTAGAAAAGTCACACGATTCCATTTATGTAAAAACCTTCCCCGTTTCCAAATATCTGCAAAGGGAATGATTCTTAATGGCAGAGCTGAGATTAGCCTGGCTGACCTTCAACCCGTGGGAGGGATGGAAGAAATTACCGGAGCGTTATCTATAAACACCTGTTGGAAAAACAAAAATAAATTCTCTAAACCAGAAAATAAATAAGTAAATGATGTAATCAGCTCATTACCAGCCCATTGTCTCTCCCAAATGTCAGTTTGAAATCTTTCATGTCAAACTCTGAAAAATGGTTTTTTCCCCTCACTTTCTCACTCTCTTTCTCCGCGTTATCGTGCTAGATGGAAAGAAACTTTATTTGCTCCAGGAAGACAATGGCCTTATCTTCAGCCTAGATCCTCGCGCCTGGAAAGGTGGCCTCCTCTGGGAGCATTTTCATAGTGGGGAAAAGCAGCTCGCGAGAAATAATGAGCAAGCAAAGGGAGTCTTGACTTGACACTGTGATAAATGAGGTGAAACTCTGGCAAGGAACCAGAGTTGGCGTATTCAAAAAGGAAATAAAAAGATCGTTCCATTTTAATGGGAAATATAAAACAGCCATTGTGCAAAAGTCGATTTTTCAAAAGCCAAAGAGATAAAGACTATAAGGGAATGACTGAGAGACGAGGGAGATAATGCGGTTGATAATCAGGCCGAGGTAAAGTGGCATGCTCCGAGCCACCGGCTGGCTCTGTGGGAGTGCCTTTGCAAGTCTCGCTAGCTGCATTTGCTCCTGCCTCATTACCATATGCATCTCCAGACAGCATCCTTATAGCTTCAACTTGCCGCCTTGCCACACTCCGGCCAGCCGGGGAGAGCAAAGTCAGCCCAACTTTCTTCAAATCGCGAACGTCTCTCCATGAGCCATAGAGCTACCAGCAACTTCTAAGTCCCCAGATGACAGAGAGCCTGAGCCCAGCCTTACGCATGCACTTGCTCTTCCCAATGGACCTGCCTAGCATGAGGTTGACACCTGTGGGCAGTGCCATACCCTGCCCTGTCTTTCACTGGGCAAAATCCATAAATCTTCTCTAGGTTGTCCTTGGGCAAATCCTAAATAGCAGGCTGGGTATGCGATGGGAATGGTTGCACCCCTTTCCCCAAGGGTAAGTGTGAATTAACCAAGGCAGTGAAAGAATCCAGCTGAATGCAGTCGAACTGATGCAATTTAGGGGCTATATGGGGATCAACTGCCTTAGTCCAGATCCTGCCGTTTATTCGCCATGTGAAATTAGCTCTGTAAAATGCTTGGCGCAGGGCCCAGTACACAGTAAAGGCTCAATAAATCTTAGCTGTTAGGATAAAGCTAGAGATACAATGAGAGTACTCTGATGCCGCGACCAAGAGGAAACTGACGCGTTTCTTCGATTTCATAAGCTAAGGTGACTAATAAAGGCCCAAGGAGACATTTTATTCACAAAACTGCCCAAGGAGGTGCTCAGATGCTACTGGGTCTCACCCTGGACACATCTTGTGTAGAACCTTGGAGACCTTCTAAACCCCACTCATCTTCCTGCTGTTCACAGATAAGCAAACCAAGGCCTGAGAATACAAGTAGCTTGTCCAAGGTCACAGTCAGTGGAAAGCAAGAACTTGACTTCTCCCCATTTCCGATCAGGTGCTCTGGACCCTGCCAAATGCGAACACTGCCCTGCTGGGTCATAAAACACACCAAATGAAAACACCACGCCTAACCCCTTCTGTCCACCCCATCAGTTGAGGAGCTAGAAAGACACATGGATCCTCCTTCAGGGTTTGGAAATCTTTGGGTCTAATGATTGGGGTTTCTTCCATCCCCTTCCCACTTCTGCAGATTGGACCCCTGACTACTACGAGAATAGCTATGAGCAATCCAACCAGGAGGAGAACAGCAATAATACTCCTGTCTACCAGGAGAATCCTGACTGGTACTACACAGAGGACGGTAGGTGCCAATGCTCTTGGGGGGCCCTCCTGGGAGGAAGCCAGCTCTGCTAGAAGAGTTTATGTGTGATTATATGCAAACGCCTCTCTCTCCTCTCTGACCACCGTCATAGAATGGGTATCGGATAAGTGACTTAGACTGGCTTTTTTCAGTTAGAATCATACACTAGGAGGACTGGGGAGGTTCCTAGAGACTCTCTCTCCCACCCTCAAGTGACAGAGGAAGTGGCGTTGACTTAGCCAGGGTCATACAGCAAGTTAGTGCATCATCATCTGGGTCTCCTGACACGGTGAGTAAAAGTCATGTTCAAAATCACCTCCTAGCTTTGATTACAGGTCGGTCCTAATTATGCAGAAGAGGCTGGGTTAGCATTCAGCATCAGATTGTAGCTTTCACAAATGTGGCATTGAAACTTCCCTTCCCCTTGTGCTGTGTTTTTCTTTCTCTTTACATTCCTCGGAAGCTTTGCACAGTTGATGTGTGTGTGTGTGTGTGTGTGTGTGTGTGTGTGTGTGTGGTGTGCACACTCACACGTATGCTTCTACACTTGTTTTGTTTTTATGGCTTCTTAACCCAAGCAATGGGACAGAAGGAAAAATGAGAAGTGGGGCCCAAGCAAAAGCATGTGACAAAGCCAGGAGAAGGAATGGAATGCACTTAGCAGCTAGAATAAAAACTGTAACTGTGCGAAGTGGCCTGGAAGGCAGGGCCAAGATACAGGGCATCAGGGGAACATCAGAAGGGACCATCAAAACAAGAGCTGGGCCCAGGGATCCTAGTTCCTGAACCAAAGAACAATGTGTGTGAACAGAAGGATAAAGAATTCCCCAAGGGAAGATCCATTCAGACAACCATGAAAAGCCAAAGGCACAGATGAAATATGACAAAATCTAACTGAACAAGTAGTTGAAGAAAGATGAAGGCCACTGGGTCATTTCCTCCTCGCCGCCAATCCTTCTGTCACCCTCTTGCCTTTGGTCCTCTTTCCTGATGTTCAGAAAGCTTGTGTTTCATTAGGGGTGGGTTTTCTTTCCCCACTCCTGACCTCCACCCCCGGGCACTGGGAGTAGGGGAGGTCTTCAGGCTTATGAAATGCCTTCAGCATCAGAGGCAGACCCCGTGGCACTCCCAGCGAGACTGGGAGGAGAAAAACACTGATGGTGGAAAAGGGGAGTTTCTCAATGAGAAACTCAATGAGATTCCTTCTCGCCTGTCCTCTTACTAACCTGAATCTCTCTCTGGTCCTGTGACTGCAGTTTTCCTTGCTCTTTAAGGGCAATTCATGTTTCCCCCTTTCCCCAGTCACCGGCTATGCATTCACTCTCTCCTTCGGGGCAGGAGACTGAAGCTTGACGAGCAAACAGGGGGCGTCTCACCTGCTGTGCATTGCGATCATTGACTTCTGTCCACATATCATAGATCCGTGCCTGTCCAACCCCTGTGAACATGGCGGGGACTGCCTTGTCAGCGGGGACACCTTCACATGCAGCTGTCCAGCCCCTTTCTCTGGAAACAGGTGTCAGAATGGTGAGTGCACTTTCACTGGGTTCCCTCTTCCTTCTGAGTTGAACAAGAGGCACCCCAACTCTAGGGGGTAAAAAGGGCTGAATGATTCCATGGAAAGGGTTGTAACCATACATATTACATCATCCATAATGGACTCCTTGGCATGATAACAAGCGACATCTCATTGGATCCTTACCCATGAGTATTGGTATAGGACTGGTATGACCATTTTATAGATGGGAACACTGAGGCTAAGAGGAGATAAGAGTTGGACTCTGACCAAGATGTATTCTACACTCAGGACTTGTTGTTCAGAGTGTTTAGACTAACTACAACAGAGAAACACTGTTCTCAAATGAGAGAGCAGGAAGAATCTGAAGGCACATGAAGCCCAACCCAGTTAGAGAAAGGGAACCCAGAGACACAGGGGACCTGATCATGGTCACACAGCTATTTAGGAGAAAGAGCAGATATTAGAGCCGTGTTGCCTGGCTCCTATCCCCATGCTCTTCCTTCCTACCATCCTCACTTATGGAGACTCTGATAAAAACGATTTCTGCCTTCAGTGACCTCTTATGGGCATAACATGAAGCTATGTGATAAGATATTGAGAATAGAACCCTTATGGGCTGAGTGAACCCCTGGAGGCATGTGGATTCTGTTCCATCTGGTGACCATTGAACGGGGGTGAGGGAGGCAGTGAAGATCTTTAAATACGGCTTTATGGTTGTCTTCTCTGTGCCTTCTTCACCCCTTCCTTCCATTTTCAATCCTATAAGTCCTTCAATAAACGCGTCAGGATGGTTTGGGGTATCAGGCATTAACATAGTATCTGGGTTCATCCCTCGACTTCCCCAAAGAATGACAAAATTGTAAATGAAATATAAAATCAACTGCAAAGTAGAGAAATTCAAATTGTAGCTCTATTTGTTTGTTGAAGGTGTAAAACTGATCAAGTTTTTTATAAAGATAGAGTAAAAAAGAATATGAGCCCTGGAAGGAACTGGGATGCAATCATCCATGACCCAAGGATTTATTAAAAAAACAGAAAAACACAAAAACACTTTTTTTTTTGTCCAGGGGTAACATGGTATTTCAGGACCACAGACAAGGGCACGCACTCTGTCAGTCACCCTTCACCACCGCCCCCAAACATTGTATTATGCAGGTACCCCAGTAAGTAAAATTTGTCCCCAAATCATGTTGCTTACTTCTCTATGGATCTCCTACAGTGCAAAACAAGTGCAAGAACAACCCATGTGACCGGGGCGAATGTCTCATTACCCAAAGTCCTCCCTATTCCCGCTGTGCCTGTAAACACCCTTACAGGGGTCCAGACTGCTCCACAGGTAAGTGAGGGAGGCCCCTGCTCTGCTAGGTTTTCTCTCTCTGGCTTGTGCCTGGGATGTCTGCAACCTATTGTGTGGAAGTCCAGATGCCTCTGGTGTTTTAGTGGCATCCAAGATGGCCCTTTTAACTATGACTCTAAAATGCATCATCCCGGGACACCTGGCTGGCTCGGTCAGTAGAGCATGTGACTGTTGATTTCGGAGTTGTGAGTTCGAGCCTCACGTTGGGCATAGAGATTACTTAAAAATAAAATCTTGAAAAAAAGAAAATGCATCACCCCTAGAGAGTCTAGGGGGAATTGACTAACCTGTGTCCCTTCTCATCCAAAAAGAATAATCTTGAAACTCATTTCCTCCAGGAAGTAAGCCTGGGTCTATTCTTGGAATGGGCCATATAGGGGATTAAATCTCTACTTAGTCACTGCAATAAGTCAGGCATTGTCCCAAGAGATTTACATTTTTTCTTACATTCTTCCAAAAATACCACAAGGAAGAACTTTACAGATGAAGGAACTGAAGTTCAGAGAAGTTAACTGACGCTTACAGTCACACAGCTATTGAGGGGCAGAGCCAGGTTTCATTCAGCCTAGCTCAGACTGGCCCCTAGGTTCCTGCTCAGTCTATACCTCTTATTCCTCACTGAGTGACCCATCTACTTAGATGTTCTTCTTTGCATGGCCTCCATCACATTCCCTCACCCATGTTTGTTTATGTTCTTAAGGTTCATGTGTCCATTTACTAGAGTGTCAGTGGGTCTGTCTTTCCCCTTTGGTAACCCAAATTTTGTGAAAGGATGGGTACCAGAAGAGTGCCACCAATATCTCCTCATCATCTCCGATGTAGCTACAACTCCTTCTGAAGAACCTTCCTGGCCCTACTTCCTGTGTTCACAGCGGTTCCTGTGTGCAGGCCAAATCCCTGCCAAAACGGCGGCACCTGCTCCCGGCATAGGCAGAGAACCAAGTTCACCTGTACCTGCCCTGACCAGTTCAAAGGGAGATTCTGTGAAATAGGTATGGATCTCTACCACCGCCACTTCAACAGAAACTCGGGGCCACAGTGAGGCCTCTGGAATCCTTTTACGTTTGGCTTTTGTTCCCAGAATGGGGTTAACGTCAAGATTCCCAAACTCTACTATTGCCTCTGCCTTCCAACCAAAGGGCATAGGGTGCACCTGGCTCCGTGTAAACAGTCATAAACTGGGATGTAGTGCAGGCAAATCAAGTACACCTGGGCCTCCCTGGCCCTCAACCCACAGGCCCTCAGGCTTTGTGTGAGCCAAAATTAAAGAACTAAGTTCCATCTAAGTTGCATCACAACCACCATGTTTCATGTTTTTAAGCTGGGCTGAACATGGAATATGCAAGCCACTTTCTTTCTGGAATTCATGGTGGAAGCTCAGGGTGATCAATATTCAGGCCCGATCCTCTCCCCACTTGATACACCTGCCAGGTCCTTTTCAGGAGCAGCATGCCAGTCCCTCTCAGTTCCCATGTCCCTGCCTGCTCTCTCCAAGGTCCTGATGACTGCTACGTTGGTGATGGCTACTCCTACCGAGGGAAAGTGAGTAAGACAGTCAACCAACACACGTGCCTTTACTGGAACTCCCACCTCCTCTTGCAGGAGAATTACAACATGTTTATGGAAGATGCTGAGACCCACGGGATCGGGGAGCACAACTTCTGCAGGTAAAACTTATCTTCTTCCGCATGAGCAGTCTTGGGTGCTTGTCAGTATGAGGGTTTGTCTGTCCCTTTCTCCTGCTCCTAGTGTTCCTGGGCCAGCTTAGAAATTGGGGGGGGGTGTTGTGGAACACTGAAACTCATCAGCTGTCTTTCTAGGAAGGTTTTCCTACACAGGATAGGCTTGGTTGTGCTGCTGTGACAAACAACCCCCAAATCCCAGTGGCTTGAGTACCTCAGGGTTTAATTTTCACTGTGGCTGCATGGGTCCTGTGGGTTGGGGAGTGGGATGCGAGGGAGAGTCTTAGCTCCACAGAGTTACTCAAATACCCAGGAAAGGCAAGGAGAGACTCGAAAATAGAGCATGAGTTTTTTTTTACTACCTGAACCTAGAAAGGACACATCATCTCTGCACACATATTTCATTGGCCAGAAATAGTCACGCCATCCTGCACAACTTCAAGGGAGAAACATAGAAGATAAAATGGAATGTCTGGTGAACATTGCAGTCTCTGCCACAGGATGTTCAGGTTTTCCCACATCAGGATAATGTCATTTCTATCCCTGGTGATGACTACTTACCTTTTTCTCCTTCTGCTGCCTCCAGACTACTCTGTGGGCTTCCTCCACTGCTCTAACCACATAGAATCTGCACATAAGTGGCAGGAATTTTTTTTATATGGCTTTTTGTATGGACTGGTTCCATTAAGCCAGAGGATTTCCCTTGCAGAAAATGCAAGTTACCTCCCACCTTCACCCAGTTTGAGCTGTTCCCTTCATGGAGGGCTCTCCAGGGCGATGCTCATGGCAGCCTTCCGCAGAGAATTCCCATGCATGGAATTTGGGGGTCTTGGCAGAGGCTCTCCTCTCACCATGCATCTGTAGCTATTTCACTGTCCTGACAAAGGAGAATCTTCAACAGGGACCTCATTTCTTTTCCTACAAACACTTCGATATGTCCCATGGATCTGGCACACATCTTGTTAACTGTTTTCTGGTCATTGGGATTCTCCCCTGCAAGTTAAAGTTTTGCCAAAAACACTTATGTGCCAGGGTTTGTTGACCTGTTGGAGGAATGGAATGGAACGTGGTCACTGGGCGGCGGGGGCGGACACAGGAACTTGGTACTCTTTTATCCAAGGGTCCTTTAATGAGGTTCAGGGGGTTCACCAAGTCTTGACTGTGGGTTATTTGGTGTTTTCATTTTAGAAACCCAGATGGAGACAAACAGCCCTGGTGTTTCATTAAAGCCAACAACGCAAAGGTGAAATGGGAGTACTGTGAGATCCCAGCTTGCTCAGCCCTAGGTAAGACCATGGCTGTCCCAAAGCCCCAGCAATGGTGAGGTTGCAGGCTCCTGCACCCCATCTCTTCATCCTGTTCACCCACCACACCTGTTTTACCAATTGCCATCCCAGTGGAAACCCAAATGCCTAATCCTCTGCTCCCCTTTCAGGATGCCTAGCAAGCCTGGATACCTTTGTTAACTGAGGCCAGTGATCCAACTATAAACTCATGTTTCCTGATTCCCAGAGAGTGTACTCAGCAAATACTTATGGATTGTTCACTGTGTGCCTGGCACTATGCCAGGTCTTCAGTACACAGTGGTGATCAAACATTGGCTGAGACTCCATAGCCTCTCAGGATGCAACATGGACAGAATTCCAGCCTCACAATCTTCCTGGCAGACTTCTCTGGCCCACCTCTCTACCCATGTCCGGAAAGTTGCACCTTCCCACCTTGTCCTGATTGATGGGATTACCTCCCTGGATAGTTTCAATTCTGCGCCTTTGCTTTCATGGTCATCCCTGTCTAGAATACTCCATCCTATGTCTGATTTTGTCCATATCCAACCATTCTTTAAAAATCAACTAAAGTAACCCTTCCTCCAGTGATGGATTTACATATTTACACACACATTTTTGTATACATGTCAAAATAAGAAGTAAAAAGCAACATCTTAAAAAAAAAAGCAACATCCTCATCATTAATTCTATAGACTTGCTTCATAGGAATCCATGTGTTAACACATATTAACTGTGTACCTCCTACATGCCCACCTTGTATGCATCAGTGCAGTCTCTTAACTCTGAAACTTGCTAAGCTGCTGGACTCGGAGTCATACCTCTGACAGGTCACTTCTGAGGCCCTGGAAGGAAACTGAGTAGTGTGATCTGTCTTTCTTGTGTCCCACAGACATTGCTGACCCAGAGGAAAGCCCCACAGAGCCTCTGACTAAGCTTCCAGGGTTTGACTCATGTGGGAGGACTGAGATGATGGAGAGGAAGGTCAAGAGGATCTATGGAGGCTTTAAGAGCACAGCGGGCAAGCACCCGTGGCAGGCATCCCTGCAGACCTCATTGCCACTGACTGTCTCCATGCCCCATGGCCACTTCTGCGGGGGAGCACTGATCCACCCCTGCTGGGTGCTTACTGCTGCCCACTGCACCAAGTAGGTGCCTACTGAAAGCAGAGGCCAGGGAAACTCAAGTCTTTGGGGCGTGTTCTCCCCTTCCAATCTGAGCAGAATTTTGGTGACTTTGGCAGGATCAGAGGGGCTGATCTAGCTCTAAGAGCAAGAGTGGCTCCTTAAAACCAGATGGAAAAGAGCTACCATGTCTAGAAGGCTTACCATGGTCATTACATGTATTATGACAATTAATCCTGAACACTATCTACTGGAAGACAAGCTGAGAAAGGACAGAGATTTTTACTTTTATTAATTGTAATATACCCAATGCCTAGTGCAAGTCTTCATACAGAACAAGTGCTTAGTAAATATTTGTGCAGTGAAAAAGTTGATTGTTTTTTTTTAAAGATTTTATTTATTTATTTGAGAGAGAGAGAATGAGAGATAGAGAGCACGAGAGGAAAGAGGGTCAGAGGGAGAAGCAGACTCCCTGCTGAGCAGGGAGCCCGATGTGGGACTCGATCCCGGGACTCCAGGATCATGACCTGAGCCGAAGGCAGTCGCTTAACCAACTGAGCCACCCAGGCACCCAAAAAAGTTGATTGTTATTCTCCTTTCATAAACAAGGACCCTGGGTCTTGGGAAGGTTTAGCACCTTGAGTAAAGTCATGTGGAAAGTCAGTAGGTAAATGGGATATGAACCCAGACTGACCTGTTTCCTTAACCTCTCCAGTCTTGCCCTGAACGGAGAAAAATAGCATGCTCCCTATCTGATGCCATTACTATGAACCTCCTGGTGTTGTGTGTCTTCAGCCATGACTCCTATTTGGCCTAGAGAAGCCAGCACCTACTGAGCAGCTGAATTACCACCACTCCCCTGAGTTCCCCAAATTCATGGTCAGAGCTGGTCCCATGTAGCCCAGGTTTTGGTGGCAGCCTTGAAGGTCTTCCTATCCAGCGTCCTTAAACAATTTCTTCTGGGATTCTTCAAACATGCAAACATTAGCCTCCACAAAGAATAGTTGTTCAAGAAGTTAATTGGCTGCTCTTTAGCAAATCCCAGGGGGAACGGGAGGTCTCTCAGGAAATGTGGGATATATGTTACAGCTTGCATTTGGAGACCATGTTTCCTCACATTTTCTTACTTGGACCACACAGCAGAGTTCTATGAGCAAGATGACAGTTATAGATGAGGATGCCAAGGTTGCAGAAGGTCGGGTCATTTGTCCAAGGTCATAGCTCACTGGGAGCAGAGCCAGGGCTTAACTTCAGTCTCTCAAATACCAGACCATTTTATCTTCCCTTGCAGCATAAAAACTAAACATCTGAAAGTGGTGTTAGGGGACCAGGACCTGAAGAAGACAGAATTCCATGAGCAGAGATTCGGGGTGGAGAAGATTTTCAAGTACAGCCACTATAATGAAAGAGAAGAGATTCCCCACAATGATATTGGCAAGTCTCCTCTATGGTGGATCTCCCATGGGTCTTGTCCTGGGTAGATTTCATTACTGATGGAAAGCCGAGGTTTGGTTCTAGAAGGTGCTTTTATCTTTTTGGTCCCTCATAGACTCTATAAGATAGAGAATTTATTCCAGAGCCCTTTAGTTTTAAAGGTCTGTGTTGATGTTATCAATAAATGAGGGGAAGAGGTGCTACCAAGGTAGTATTGTGGAAGGAACTCAGCCTTGAATCCCAGCTCCCACCCTTACTAGCTGGCTTCACTTCTCCAAGCCTCAGCTCCTCTTCTATAAAATGGATATGCTGGTGTACAGCACTCAGCTTCCTGTGTGTTAAGTGACTTGATGTGCATGTGTCCCCATGTACATCTGGCATCTGGTAGGTGTTCGGATGTAGACGCAATGATGTTAAGCTGCCGGCTGCTCAGTGTATACTCCAGCTCTCCATTCCTGGGATCTGTCACTCCCTCTCCTTCCTCAGTATCTTTTTTTTTCCCCTCTTGAAGACTGTTCTTTAAAAAAATGGATTACAAATGATTTCAAACTCCACTATTATTTTTCAGTATTACACTCAGCCTGAAGTGTGACTCCTCCCCAGTTGGAAGTTAAAAGAATGCAGTAGCCGAGGAGCAAGGCATTCGTTTGTTAGGCACTAGGAGTGGGGCTTTGCAATGTCTACCTCCTGATCAAGTTGAAGCTAATGACAGAGAGGATATCATCATTCATTTCCTCTTTCTCTCCTTACCTAGCTTTGCTCAAGCTAAAGCCAGTGGATGGTCACTGTGCTTTGGAATCCAAATATGTGAAGACCGTATGTTTGCCCCATAGCGTTTTCCCCTCTGGGACTGAGTGCCACATCTCTGGCTGGGGTGTGACAGAAACAGGTGAGTCTGGCCATGCATTCTCCTGAGACCCAGGTGAGTTGCATTAACTAGAAAAGAAAGGGATCAAACTCAATATCCCTTCTGAACTTAGAATCAGTGTTCCATTGAAGGTGTATTACAAAAAGGAAGAGATTGCCTTATGGCTAAATCTCTAGATAAATCTCATCACTTCCAAGGAGCCTTCCCTGATCTTTCTATCTGTCCCTGTCCCCTACCTTGACTTCCATCAAGCATTGATCCTGTATCCACAGAGATCTCTCTCCTTCCCTTGGTAGACTGGAAAGAGGATAGATTATAAAGAAGATGGGTTTGGCATCAGACAGACTGGTGTTGGGTTCTTGGCTTTGTCACTTGGACAGCCGAGATTTAGTTCCTCCATAACCACACTTATCTCCTAGGTTTGGAATCATGATAATAGGAGCTGATAGAATTCCATGGAGATATTCATTTAGTCAGCCCCTGGAGGGCAGGGTCCACGTTCGTTCATCTGTTTCCTCTGGAGTGCTTTGCTCAGGGGTCTCCGCATTGTAGGCATTCTATAAATTTTCTTAAACCAAGCTATTGATTTGTCTCTAGGATGCAGTCTTATCTAAAAAAGTAACCACAGGATCAATTTCCTCATGTGCTGACAAGATTATATTCTCTAACATATGAAATCCAGAGGCGTATTTCAAGTCTGTCTCAAATACTCAAAATAGATCTCTCTTTCCCCCAAATCTTGCCCTTAATAATGGAAAGCAAGAAACACTTTAAATAGACCTGTATTCATGAAGAAAATGAAATGTAATACACAAATTTGTCAGAAGGCTTTTGGGAAAGAAGATTTCGGGTTAATCAGATGTAAGGTTAGCCAGAGGCCAGTCTTCATAGGGATCTTCATTGTCGTGCACCTAAACCTTTCAATATCACCGTGCTGACCAGAGCACATTGAGCGGAACAGAGGATCCTCAGGGAAAGAAATCTCTGCTCTGGGAAGTAGGTAATCTAGAGGAGCAGCTGGGGCACTGCATCCATCATTAGGAATCTACCATGTGCCAGCCCTCTGCTAGGAAATTTTAAAAAGGGTTTAAGACACTATCCCTACCCTTCTGACCTGATGGTCTAGCTGGGGAGACAGAAGAGGGAATAAACGATTCTGCTCCACTGAGATAAGCACAAAACAGAAGGTCTATAAAACCATGGGGAAGACTGGAGGCTAAGAGCCTCCATCCTTGAAAGATGAGGCTCCTCTGCCCATCTCCTGGAAAAACCTTCCTTTCTGAGTTCAGACCTGTGGCCATATTCTTATCAATGCCCCCACCATCTTCTGGTGGGGCAGGTGTCCTCCGGGTCCCCACAGTGGTGACTTCTTTTCTCTACCCCACAGGGGAAGGATCCCGCCAGCTCCTGGATGCCAAGGTCAAGCTGATTGCCAACGCTTTGTGCAACTCCCACCAACTCTATGACCACATGATCGATGACAGCATGATTTGTGCAGGAAACCTTCAGAAGCCTGGAAAAGACTCGTGCCAGGTCAGAGATTCCAAATGGCACTTGGAGAAGGAGACATGGGCGGGAGCTTACATTGGGCAGAGGCCAGACTGAGAGGCCCTGGCTGGGAGGCCAGTTTGGAGGCCCACCTGCCGTAAAGCTAAGGCACAGGCAGGCATACCTGTCCTCTGGCAAACTGGCATCCACATCCATCCGGGAAGATCCAGCATTGTAACTGTAGTGGCCACTTTGCCTGCCTTGTCTGAGTTAATTCTCATGACACTGGTGAAGGGGATGTCATCATCACAAGTCAGAGAAATGCTCTTGGCCCACAGCACCTGGCTGGTTGATTGGCAGAGCGGGGGATTACTTCACTGTGTTTAAACCTGAAGATGTTGCTTCTGGCCTTAGTACTGGGCAGCGTGGCTGAAAATCCCAACAAGGAGCTATCCAAAGGACCAGTGGCTAGAAGGAGAAAGATGACAGGCCCAGAGAATTCGTAATAATAGTAACTAAACATCAGGATCTGTATGTTTGTGCCTGTGTACGTGAGAGAGAGAGAGAGAGAGAGAGAGAGACAGAGATGGGGGTGGGGATTCAGCCCTAACACACTAAGTGGCTGAGTGGTTCCTCAGCCTGCCTGACATCCCCCCCAACCCAGTCTAGGACTTTTGGGGACCCCAAGCCACAGAGGCCTGTGATGACTCAGAGGCTGCAGGACAGGGAGATGGGGGAGGCTCTATCTACTGGTGCTGAAGTGACCTCAAGCCTTTACCCCAAGTCAAAGACCAGGCCCCATGGTCTTTCTCTCTCTGTAGGGGTCACATCTCACAGGAGACACCCTTCCTAGACTCCCAAGAACACCTAAGTTTAGAATTTTCTGCCTAACGTCCTCATAAATCACCCAACTGTCTTGGAAACTCCAGCGTGGACACACTCAAACCTCAGCTCCCCCCTCACAAAGGGGCCCAACAATGACCTGCCAGCCTCGAGCTGGGGTGGGAAATCACCGTCACTCCCTCTAAGGTTTGTGGCTCTGCTGGGACCCTCTGTCCCTTCCCAAGGGGCTGCAGAGATCCACCTCCTCAAAGGAGGGTCATGGGCTGATGGGTGTGATTTGTCTGAAGCCCCTGGAAGATGAGTAAGAAAACAGATCATTCCGTCCTCTAGGTATTTTGAGGGCTTTGCTTGCAGGCTTTGGAAACAGACAGTCATGGGTTTGAATCCTGGTTCTTCCACTTCGTGACTTTTGTCAATCACCAAATTGTTTCGTCAGCTCGGGCTGCTCTAACAAATCCTCATAGACCGGTTTAAACAGCACAGATGTCTTTCTCCCAGTTCTGGAGGCTGGCTGTCCAGATCAGGGTGTCAGTGTGGTCCAGCTCCAGAGGGCGCCCTCTCCCGGTCACAGACAGCTGATTCCTCCTTGTGACCTCACAAGGGGGAAAGAGTTGGCTACCTCTGTGGGGTTGGGGTCCCTTTCAGCAGGGCACTAATCCCATGCATGAGGGCTCCACTTCATCTCCTCCCAAACGCCCCACCCACTGATACTGTCACATTGGGGAATTAGGCTTCAACGTCAGTATTTGGGGGGAACACATTCAATTCATTATACTGAAATAATTCTCCAGTCTCGGGTGCCTAATCTGTAAAATCAAATAACGTATGCATAAAATCCTAAGGTGTGGCTAAGATTCAAAGAGACAATTCGCTGTAAATCCTCTCAGCTGCCGGGTGTGAGCAGTGGGGCGTGGTGAGAGCTGCCCCTTCCCACCACCCTCCTCCTGCCACTTTAGCTGCGGCTCAATATGAACCAGGCACTGCTCTATGTACTTTACAAACATTAATCTGCACAGGAGCCGGGGCAGGGTTGGGGGAGGTCTGTTGCTCTCCACAGTTCACCACGTGAGAAACTGAGGCCCACTTGGCGAGCATCCGCCAACCTGGTTTGGAACCAAGAAGATCCAACCCCATAGGACCACGTTGAACATTTAGGCTGTGCTGTCTCTGAGCCCCATCCTCCCCACCCTGTGTGTGCCCTGCGGGTCCTGGGAGGGCTCTATCCAAACAGGGTACCGCCCCCGACCCTGCAGGAATGGGAAGTTGGGGGCCCCTGAGAACTCACTGTGTGACTACGAGTCATGACTAAGAGTGTGGAAGTAGCGGTGTGACCACAGCACTGGGGTCGAGTCCTGTGGCTTCTCTGCCAAGCCCTCATGGACTCAGGGGCCTACGGTGGTATTCACTTCTCTCCCTTCAGAGCTCTGTGTCTGAGAAAGCTTCAGAAGAGCCCTGCCTCCACTTCCCAGAGAAACCCACTGGGGCAATGTCACCCCATCGCCCCCTGGCATCTCCTCACGGAAGGTGGAGGGTGTCTCTGAATGTATTCTGATTCACAAAGCTGAACTCATGTGTCTTTTTTCCCCTAGGGTGACTCTGGAGGCCCTCTGGCCTGTGAGAAGAATGGTACCTACTATATCTATGGGATAGTGAGCTGGGGCCTGGAATGTGGGAAGAAGCCAGGAGTCTACACCCAAGTTACCAAATTCCTGAATTGGATCAAAGCCACCATCCAAAAGGAGGGTAGCTTCTAAGGTGTCTTCTGAACCTGAGAGCCCGTTGTCCCGAGCACCCAGACAAGGCCAGACCTCATGGGCAGCCCTGGACACCCTGGGAGCCCCCAGGAGGCCATACAGCCGAGTGTCCATGCTCTGAGCAGAGACAACGGCCACCCAGCCTGGGGCGCCCTGAACCAGCATGTCCACCGCTTTATCAGGCTGCCTTGTGGGTAACCCAAGACATGCCAGAATCAACCCAATAGATACTTTGTTGGCTTCCCTTCAAGAAAATCACAGACCACCTTCACCTCAGACATTTGCAAACGTGGGATTTCAGAAAAACCAGAGCCAGTGGGAGTCACCTTTACATCTTTATTCCTCATCCCAGACACCCAAGGAACGCATCAGAACTGGCCACCCACGTCCAGGATCAGACGGGGGACCAAAAATACGATATTCTCCGTGGCTTTCTGAGAGTCGTTGTTTTAGTAAAGGCGGCTCGGGGACAGGCTGGTGCATGGCTTTTTCAGCTCGCTGGAAGGGAAGCATGTCTCCGGTGGGCACATTTCCTCCTGAGCCTCTTTCCCAAGAGTCCTGGGTGGATGCTGCTTACTCACAACAGCAGAGCCTTCCTCCTGTTGACGTGCAGAATCTCAGTGGCATCTGGGTTCACGTCCCCCCTCTGATTATCTGCGGGCTCCACAGCCTCTGGCCCCCCCTGCAGAAATCAAACATACCTCCCTGAGTCAGAATGAAGCTTCCGCCCGGCTCCCACAGGATGAGCTGCCTCAGATGCCCCGGGAGCATTTCAAATGCTCCCCCTCCCCTGCCCTTCCCTTCCTCCATCCTCCCCGAGAGAAAGGATCCTCGAGGCAAGAAGGAGAAAGAAGCAAAGCCAATCTCTAATTTAGACGTGGCGTCTTTCTTCTGAACAAAGTAGGGTTCAAAACCCAGACTGTTGCAGCCAGCGAGTCCCTGACCCTTTCTGTGGATGTAATGAGCTAGCGGTGAGCACAGCCTGGGCGGCCATGGCCCGCAATTGAAGGGGCCCCGGTAGGCTTGTCTCCGCACAACTAATGGCTGAGACTTCAGAGAAAACCCTGCAGGAAGGTTAACCCTGGTGTCATCCGCCTGGTCATCTCAGACCCATGAAATTAGGTGCCTTGCTCCAGCTAGCTGCATTTCACACTTCTTTAGAGCCGGCTGACCTTCGGCCAAAAATAAAGTTTGAAAAGAAACAATGAGTTTGCCTTTCCACCATGGCCTTGCCGGCTGGGGTGGGTTTACGACTGGCTACTCACAGAAGCCCCCCGGAGACCCAGGCCCCTCGCCTTGGCCAGTTCTGCTGCCCGCCGAGCCATTTCCACTTTGTAGGAGCCGGGAGGTGTCCAGCCGATACCTCTGGTCAGGTTCAAGTCTGATTTGTACTTGACCTTAGGGGACAGAGGGAAGCAAGAAGAGGTCAGTGGGGTCTGGGGTGGTTTGGCCACAGTGTGGCCTCTGTGGGATGGAGCATATGCCCCTGTCGGTAAAGCCAGGACAAGGGGGGGCAAACTCTGCCCAAACAGAGGCTCCCCGGCACGGAGTGCCCGATGTGCTGTGAGCTGGGCCGGCATGATGCTGGGCTTTGCATCTTCCCACTCAAGTAACAGGAGCCATACTGGGGGCGGAGGGTGGGGAGGATCCGTTCAAGTCTCAGCTTCCACTTCAACTCACTCTGTGGCCTCAGGAAAGCCATTTCCCTTCTCTGGGCTTCAGCTGCCTCCCAGGGAAAGTGCAAGGACTGAGTCAGGTAACTGCTAAGACCTCTCAGAAACAGTATGGCAGAACCATCGAGAGCTTGAGCTCTGACATCAAGCCAAATGGGGTTCGTATCCCAGGCCTGCCACCTATTTGCCGGGTGATCTTGAGTCAGTTCCCTAAGCTCTCCAGGCCTCTGGTTCCTCATCTGTAAAATGGGGCAGGGATGGGCTGCTGTGGGAGCTCCATGGCACGATGCTTGGGAAAGCATTTGGCACCGAGCCTGGCCCACGGTAAAGACTCCATAAACTGCAATTATTATTCCTTCTGGCGCTGCCCAGATCCCCCCACCCCCCACCGAAGGTCATGTGGGTCATGTGGGATGCGCCGTGATGGCTGAGGCAGTGGAGGAAGGGTCTCAGCCAGGTGGCTCACATCACTCTGCAGCTGGTGGGCCTTCTGCGCGTGCTTCAGGCCCAGCTGCTCGGGGTCGCAGGTGGGCTGGGCTGGGGGCTGCCTATAGCGCAGGTCGCTGGCCAGCTGCTGGCTCCTCCTGGCCTGGAGGAAGCTGGGCTGGTCCGGGTGGCTGTGGAACTGGGCCCGAGTCCTGGCAAAGTCCTTCTTGTACTCGTTGTCACTCTGCAGTTTGCTGACGCTGAGGAAATGCCTCATCCTTGGGTCGTCACTGACGCTGCGGTAACCAATCTGCAGGCCCCGGTCCCGCAGGAAGGCCTCTTTATACAGGAACTGCAGATCAGAGAAGCAGAGATGGGGCGCGGGGGCCTGCCTCCCCTCCTGGGCCAGCCCACAGGATTCTCAGCAGGAAGTTCAATGGTGGGGTAAGAATACATCTTTGGATTCAGGTAGACCTCGGATCTAGATCTCCCTCTGCTACCTTCTAGCTGTGTGGCCTGGGGCCAGTTACGGAGTCTCTCTGAGCCTCAGTTTCCCCTCCTGATAAAATGGGAGAACGAGCCTCCACCCCATGGGACACGAAGGGGATTCAACGAGGTGGGGGCTGAGCTTCAGGTTCATGCCCACCGAGTGGCGGCTATGGGTATTAAGGCTGCTGTAATGAATAATCCAACAGGAAGAGAAATGTGCCCACCCTCTCAGCAGCCACTCTTCCTTTGATTCTTCCCGGCTTACAGGGGCCCCATCCAGGGCTCCTCAAACCATCTCTAGGGAAGAATCAGATTCATTTTGTTTTGCTTTTTAAATTTCCAATCCATCAAAGTCCCATAGGTGGTTCTACTGCATCTGATTAGTACGTAGTGGTAACACCCAAACCAGCCCTGCTCCGGAGGAGTCCACCGGGCACAGGCTTGGTTGTCACAACGGCTAGATGCTAAAAATGTTTCCAAATGCTTGTTCTTGATTTCTGGACTGACTGTGGGCAGATACAAGCTATTCATGAGTGATCCATGATCTACCTTCTTCTTCCATAAAAATGGCTGCCATGTTTTGAACACCTGTTATTTGCACGACACTGTGAACCATTTTGTTTTCAGTCCTCCATTGATCCTAGGAGATGAAAAGTATATCCCTATTTCACAGATGTAGAAATCTACGTTCAGAGGATGTGAGCAACTTGCCCAACACCACACGGCCAAGTCCTAAGTGACTGAGCCAGGATTTGGACTCAAAATCAATCTAAGGGAAAAGTTCAATCTCTTTCTACCCTGTCACGCTGCACTTCAGCTAGAAGTCCCTTTACTGTGGATCGACACATCAGTCAAATGTTAGTTCACTTCTAGGTACACATATGTCAACTTTTAAGAGTGTCCTCCCCAATCTGAAATTTCTGGCTAAGATTCTAGAAACTAAGGCCTATTTTTAATTTCATTTGAAATACTTGTTCAGTTTTGGGTTCCTGGTGGTTTGCTTTTCAACAGAACTGGGGAAAGCAGTCAAACCCACAAGTGACAGAGGGAGAGAGAGCCTGAGGTCTTACGTCACTGGCGATCTCCCTAGACGCCCGGGCGGTCTGGAATGGGATGGCGTCGAGCCTGAAGTCATAGCCGCCAGCCTGGGTCTGTTCCCAAGAATTTCTGTAGGCTTTCTAGATGGGGAAAACAGAGAAATGAGTGAGCAGGGAGTGAGAACTCCATACCTGGCACGTTGTTAGTTCTGAGCAGGAATGAACGCACACCCTCCGCCCTGCACGTGTCCAAGGACAGAGCCATGGCCCCACATCTGTCCCGAGGACCTCCCCAAGCTCTGGGACGGGTGGGACCGGCCACGAAAGGCTCAGCTCTAAGCTCCTGGCCTGAGCATCAGGCCCTGCTCAGATGGGTCTGTGGTCTGTGAGTCTGGCTCCTTTGCTATATCCTGTTGGTACCAGAGGCCACCCCCCCGCCACTCCTTCCTGTCGTGGCATTCACTTTCAGTGCCTCGGGTTTGCAGCTTCTAGGTGCCAGAACTCGAAGTTCAAGAACGCTGCTTCTTCCCTCATGCTGAAAGCACTATTCCTTGGGTCCTGGCACCCATGAGTTTGTTAGCTCCAACGACTTCCCGGGGGCCCCTCGGCTACTTCTGAAGCTGTGTCACACCATCGTTATGAAGTGTGCCGCCTCCCATAGGCACGCCCCTGGTGCCCGCACGGAGGGAAGAGCCTTCACCTGAATTAAATTGATTGCCAAGAACCTGACTGAGTTCCTGACCCGTGTATTTCACATCTTCCTCTTTCATTTTCTCCCTTTTGAAGGCATTCTCGCACACCCTCCGGGAGTCTGTAATCACACCTTCTTGGTTCTCAGGTGGGCCCACGTACCCGAGAGAGCATCAAAATCTCCCATGCCTTCATGTAGCTAATATTTTTTTTTTTTTCAGCATAAGGGAATGGCTCCATGAAAGGAGCCATCTGGAAATCCCAGTGGAGGGCTGTCCTTTATCCAGCCACAGAGAAGGGACACAGCAGGTGAGGCACATTCAGCAGCAGACGACAAAGTGACAGTCCCAGACCGTGTCGGTGGCTCACTCATTCCAAGAGCCACAGCAGGTCAGAAGGCCCCTGAAGAACCTTACTTTTGTCACTTGGAAACAGAGGTCATGGCTGAGGCTCTGTTCTACAGGGCATTGAGGGGACTAAGCAAAGGAAGGATGGCAGATAAAAAAGCAAAGTGCCTCAAACCACCGCACAACTGGGCCTGGAACCAGAGGGGCCCACGGAGAAGGAGCCAGGCACGGTAGAGCTCCACATTGTTATGTACTGCCATCCATCACCTTCACCTTCATCATCGCCTCCAACTCCAACATCCAATGCCACCAGCCACGAGCCAAATACCTGCTGTGTTCAGGGGCCTAGAAATACAGAGTCAATAATCGTTGGAGTAATCGCCTAATTGATGGGTCACAAATGGCCCCAAGGATTCGATTTACTGGGTCACCACCGAGTGGAACAGGCAGGACGGAGGGATCGGTAGACGGGGAGAAACACTCAGATAATGACAGAGTGACCATCACCTTCAGCATTACGCTCCCTGATATGGTGACCCCACAAATAGCCGTAGATATAGCAAATAGAGTCCAAGCCCTTAGCATCCCCTGGGAAGGGGACAGTTGGCCCCTTCCTACAAAGGGCCTCCACACTGGATCTGGGCTAGGTAAGGACACCAAACTTTCCTCAGCTCCGACGTCACCCCATTCTGGTGTCCAATGCACCCCAGCTTCCGAGCTGCTACGACAGAGGGTCACCTAGCGAG